CTGACGACCAGGCTACGCAGCGGTCGTCACAGGGTTACACCTTCAGCCTTGGTTCCGGCTCTGTCTCGTGGCGGTCTACTCGCTCGTCTTCGGTTCTCGGCTCCAGTTGTGAGGCTGAGATCTACGCCGGGGCCATGGCTGCACAGGAGCTTCGCTGGCTCACCTACCTGCTGACTGACCTTGGAGAGCCGCCTCGTTCTCCTCCAGTGCTGTACGTAGACAACAAGGCCATGCTGGCCTTGTGTCGAGAGCAGCGCTTGGAGCACAGAACGAAGCACATTGCTCTCCGCTACTTCCTTGCTCGTGAGCTGCAGCAGCGTGGTCAGTTGCGACTTGCGTACGTGGCCTCTGAGGCCAACACTGCTGATGTGTTCACCAAGGCACTCGCGCCTTGTGACCATCAGCGCTTTTGCACCCAGCTGGGTCTTGTGCCTGTCTTGCCTCACTTGCTCTCCTCTTGACTTCACTTGTACTGTGACATATATATATACCTGCTCTTGCTTGTCTAGTTTTATATATATGTCTGTACTTCTGCATGTGAACTGGCCTCTGGCCCTGCTCTTGTGCTCGGACTGTGTGGTGACTTTGTGATCCACCCTGAGCTTGCTTTGCTTTGCTTGACTGGTCTTGTGACCCCTTGTTCTCCCCCACTTTGCCTATGGGGGTGTGTCAAACATTAGATATGTTCTGCTTGTGTAGGCTACAGTGGGTTAGCCTATAGGGGGTACACAATTCTAGGGTTTCCTACTTGTACTCATTTCACTGCTAGTTCATTCATTCCTGTTCGCTTATTCTCACAGATTCTGCTGCAGAGATGGAATTAGCAGAGAGCATGTGCATAAGGGGATCCTTGGCTGGTTACAACAATTCATGCCAGCTCTAGCTGCGGCTTAACCCACTCCGCTTGGCCTCCAGTACCACAAGGCAGCATAAATTTCATAAGAGCACTACACCACCGCTCCACACATTGCAGCACAGGGCATCCACGCATCGCACATAAAGAGCGTTGGTGTCATGCCTTCCGCCATCCCCACCATCACTGCTGCTGTTGTTGTTGTGAAAGTTAGAACGAGAGAGAATGGATGAACTATTAAAGAGTTGGGTACAAGTACTAACCCTAATTGGGTTGTACCCCTTATGGGCTACCCAACTACAGCCTACACAAATGTATGAGCTATAATGTTCTAACATACCCCCATAGGCAAAGTGGGGGAGAACAAGTGGTCACAAGACCAGTCAAGCAAAACAAAGCAAGCTCAGGGTGGATCACCAAGTCACCACACAGTTCGGGCACAAGAGTAGGGCCATAAGGCCAGTTCACATGCAAGATCATATATATAAAGGTAAACAAGCAAGTGCAAGTATAGAAAGAGTACAGTACAAACAAGATCAAGAAGTGAGCAAGTGAGGCCAGGTAGGCACAAGACCTAGCAAAGTACAGAAGCGCTGATGATCACAAGGCGGAAAGGCCTTGGTGAAGATATCAGCAGTGTTGGCCTCAGAGGCCACGTACGTGAGGCGGAGCTGACCACGCTGCTGTAGCTCACGAGCCAGGAAGTAGCGGAGAGCAATGTGCTTTGTTCTGTGCTCCAGTCTGTGCTCCCGACACAAGGCCAGCATGGCCTTGTTCTCTACGTACAGAACTGGAGGAGAACGAGGCAGCTCTCCTAGGTTAGTCAGCAAGTAGGTGAGCCAGCCTAGCTCCTGTGCAGCCATGGCCCCTGCGTAGATCTCAGCCTCACAGCTAGAGCTGAGAACAGAAGACGAGCGGGTAGACCGCCACGAAACAGAGCCGGAGCCAAGGCTGAAGGTGTAACCCTGTGACGACCGCTGCGTAGCCTGGCCATCAGCCCAAGAAGCGTCACCGTGACCTGTGAGGACCACTCAACGTCGCCCTCCAAGCACTAGCCCCATGCCCAACGTACTGCACACGTAGCGCAACACCCTCTTTGCTGCAGCCATGTGCCTTGGTCGGTGTCTCCCAGGAGCAACATAGCGTGCCAAGATGCTAAGAGGGTATGCAAGGTCAGGTCGTGTGCAGGTCATCAGGTACATGAGGCAGCCAACAAGCTCTCAGTACGGGCCACTCAGCTCTACGGACTCATCCGAAGGCAGAGCTGAGAGCGAGTGGCGAGTAGACAGAGGAGTGGCATGAGGCGAGGAGTACGTGAAGCCGAAGCGCTGAAGGACCTGCTGCACCATGTGTGACTGAGTCAGGGTAATGGTGCGCTATGCTCTGTCCCGGGTGATCTGCAAGCCAAGGTAGCTGCGCAGTTCACCCAGGTCTGTGCACGTGTGTCTCTTCTGCAGCTCGGACTTCACGTGGGCGAGTCCAGCAGTGTCAGAAGTGGCAAAGACCAAGTCGACGTACATGAGGATGTAGAACGGCGGCAAAGAGGTGTCGGTGCGCAGAAACAGCGACGGGTCGGCTGTAGAAGGAGCAAACCCAAGAGCCGCAAGTGTAGTCCTCAGAATCTCGTGCCACTCACGGGGCGCCTGGCGGAGACCGTAGACTGGCCGCCGGAGGCTCCACTGGGTACTAGGAGGAAACGACCCGGTGAAGCCAGGTGGGCGGCGCAGCCAGATCTCCTCGTGCAGGCTGCCCTGCAGAAAATCTGTGTTGAAGTCAAGAGAGTGAAGCTCGTAGTCGCGCTGAGCAGCTATGTGCAGCAGCACTCGAAGAGTGGTCATCTTCGGGGTGGGAGAGAAGGTCTGAAAGTAGACAACTCCCTGCCGCTGACTGAAGCCTCGAGCCACGTAACGCGCCTAGAAGAGAGGCGGAGAACCCGGCGGCCGCTTCACCCTGAGAATCCACATCCCACCGACGATGTTCGCCCCAGGTGGGGGAACCTCGTCGACGTAGGTGCCTGTGGACTTCCAGGAAGCCATCTCTGCGTCCATGGCTGACTGCCACTGAGATGAGTAGGGACCCTCGATCGCCTCAGCGTACGATCGAGGAGTCGGGATGTCTGGTGCATCCGGGTCTCCCTCAGGGGCAATCAGCGTGGACACGAGATGGGGCAAAGCAGCAGCAAAGCACTGGAACTCCTCCCGCCTGTCCTCAAGGACGTCCGTGCTAAGAGCACACTCACCCCCGACGGACGGAGGACAGCAGACTTAGACTCAGCAACGAGACTGGCAGCGTAGTCTAGACGACAGCGAGCAGCGAAGTCGACAAGCTCAGCAACTAGAGCAGACGCAGCTGTGGACTCAAAGGAAGGGTCATTGACAACAGTAGCAAGAAGGCGAGTGACCGAAGGACTAGCAGCACGAAGGGAGTCAGACTCCGGGTCACCAAGAGAAGAAAGAGAGGACTTTGGAGGAGACAGCAACGGGACACGCACAGGAGCAGTGGAAGGACGCAGTGCCATCTGGTGTGTGCCGGGGACCGCAGGATGACGCGGACGCGCAGTACGACCACTAGTGCGAGAGCCACAAACAGGCGACGCAAGACGAGACGCAGGCTCACGACGCTTAGCAAGACCTCCAGTAGGACCAGTGTAGGGAGAAGGAGCAGGTAGAGGAGAGGCGGGCTGTAACTGTGACTGCGACTGGACAGGCTATGGACTCTCTAAGGGAGGAGCAGGACCAGGAGAGGGCGGGAGACCAAGAACCTGCTCCAAGAGCAGAACAAAGTACGGCCTCAGCCGCTCGGCGCCTCCAAAACCAGCAAAGACGGCACCGGTACCCCCAACGGCAGCACTAGTGCTAGCAGTACCTCCAGCTTCAACAGCGCCAGCTCCAGTACCCTCATAAGTACCAGCGCCCGCAGCACCCCCAGTGCCAACACCCCCAGCAGGTCTAGCAGCCTCAGCACCACCCCCAGACGCACCAGCGCTAGTAGAGACACCAGCGCCAACACCCCTAGCAGCTCCAGCTCCAGCAGCACCAGCACCGCCAGCAGCTCCAGCAGGACCAACTCCAGTAGCCCCAGCAGCACCCCTAGTCGCAGCAGCACGTGTTCAGCAGCGCGCAAACCACTCGCGCAACTCCTGTGGAGAAAGCGGCTCTCGTCTAGACGAAGCACCGCCGGCGGCTACACGAGCAGATCCAGCGCCCCCAGGCTCCGCACCCCCAGGCTCAGCACCCCCAGGCTCAGCACCCCCAGACTCAACACCCCCAGGCTCAACACCCCAAGTCTCAGCACCCCCAGACCCGCCACCCGCAGGCTCAGCACCTCTAGTAGCACTAGAGTCAACAGCTACCTCGACAGGCTCGACTACGTCTACCTGGGACACACCTGACGGGGCAGGACCCTGAGGGGGGAGGGGGTCTACCGGGGGAGGATTCGGCACAAGGAAGAGCGGCGGCGGGAGGAGGGGTGCAGTGCGGTAGGGGAAGAGACGGTAGTAAGGCACCGACTCGTCAAAGGTGACGTCCTGGGAGGACAAAACACTGCGCAAGGTGGGGTGGTAAAACTCCCAGCCAGGCGCGTCAGGGGGGAAGCCAAGGAAGACGCAGGAAACAACACGGGGGGACAGCTTGTCCGCAGACAAGTCGCGGACGAACGCCCGAGATCCCCAGACCCGAAACGAAGACGCATCGCCAACCTTCCCGGTCCACCGCAAGGCGGGGGAGGTCTTTGGCAAGGAGACACGGGGTTGAAGGTTGAGCTGATGCGCGTCGTACTGATCCGCAAACGGCCACAGAAAATGGGGGGCAGCCGCATGCATCATGGACGTACGAGCGACGTCCATGACCATGCCAATGCGGCGCTCAGCAATCCCATTCTGCTGTGGAGAAACCGGAAGCGTGAAGGTCGGGCGGATGCCCTGTGAACGATAGAAAGCTCCCAGACGATTAGAGGAAAGCTCCCCGCCTCTCTCCGAGTGCTGACACAGAACAGGAAAGTCCGAGCCGAAACTCTCTCTGAGCTAGAGACGAGCTGCGCGGATCCAGTCGATCAACACCTCAGTGACGTCACCCTTGCTTCGCAAGGGGAAGACTGTGGTGTAACGCGAGTAGTCGTCAACCACCAGCAGGAAGCATTGCTCGCGCCCCTACCCAATGACGCGGGCTGGGCCCCACACGTCCATATGGAGAGTCTGCACGGAGCCTCTGTCGGAGGAAACTCGGATGAGTGAGGGGCGGCGCGCTGTCGCCCCTCGACGCAGGGGACGCAGGTAGGGCCAGGCCCCAAAGGCAGGGGAGGGAGAGATCGAGGGAGACCAGAGACAAGGACACAGGAGGCCATGCCTCCGAGACGAGGCAAGGAGGGGTGACCAAGGTGGTGGTGCCAAAGGAGAGTCTGGTGGGACAGCAGACGACACGAGCAGGGAGCAGACTCAGGACCAGACCTGGACGCTGCAGCAAACACCTGACTCGACGTAGCTACCTGGGCAGACTCAGCAGCCGGAGGAGACTCAGTAGTAAGGATGTACAGGCTCGACCCTGGCCGACGGGTGAACGTGGCCAAGTGTCGGCCTGTGCGAGCACACGTGTAGTGGGTCACTCGCTGACTCGCAGGAGCGAACTGATCAACCCCCCTATCCAGTAGGTCCGCTCCACTCACCAAGTTCGTAGAGAACGAGGGGAGGTACAGACCTGACAGGCTGCTAGAGGGGGCTGCCGGGCACGGTAAGACAGTGGGAAAGCTAGCAAGGACAAGACCCCATGAGGGGTCTGCCAGGGAGACTGCAACCGGCCGACTAAGCGGCGTAAGAGTGGTGCGGTCTCGAAAGAAGGAGCGAGACGCACCCGAGTCAAGGGTGAAGGTGTGGAAGGCCTGAGCTGACGTAGTACCTAAGAGAGCACACTCACCAGCACCTGGGGCAGCAGACGCACTGGCACCTGGGGCAGCAGACGCACTTGCACCTGGGGCAACAGACGCACTGGCACCTTAGGCAGCAGACGCACAAGCACCTGGGGCAGCAGACGCACTAGCACGTAGAGCAGCAGCCTCATAAGCACTCAGAGCAGTGGCCTCAATGCCCGGGTCACGCGGTACACACAGGTAATAGTCACCCGCAACACCAGGATCAACAGCATACATGGCAGCAAGAATAGCATCAAAATCAAGATCAAAGATAGCAACCCCCGCCCTAGACATATCTCCCCAGCGAGGGATCTCTGACGCCTCAGGGAACTGGCGACACCACGCGTCCGTCAGGCGATCGAAGGAGCGCTTGGTGGAGTGCGGGCCCCCGCACTGCTCACCAGCTCGGTCGCCGGTACGGAGGACGTAAGTGCAGGGACCAAACCCCCCACCGCGCTGACACGCAGTGTACCACTCACGAAGCAGCTGAGGGGACATGGTCACACCACTCCGCTGCTGCTGGTGCGGACCACCACCGGAGCCACTCCTCTGCGCAGAGTCGCGACCCGTTCCACCACCGCCGCCGCCGTCGCCGCCGCCGTCTCCGCCGCCTCCTCCACCTCTGCCTCCTCCGCCACCTCCGCCTCCTCCGCTCCCTCCGCTCCCTCCGCTACCACCACTGCCTCCGCCGCCTCCACTGTTGTCGCCGCCGCTGCCACCCCTGGCACCACTCCCACCACCACCCCCACTCCCTCCACTGCCTCCACCACCACCTCCACCGCCCCCTCCAGCCCCTCCGGCGCCCTTGCCTCCCTTGCCCTTGCCGGTGCGGCGTTTCCCGCTCAGGGCAGACGCACCGCCGACCGACTCGAAACCAACGAGGTCGGCCGCAGCAGTAGAGGTAACAGAGGGCAAGAGGGGGGAGGGAGAACACCCCTCAAAGACGGGGGTGGGAGGGTCACCACGAGAGGCTCCTACAGCGACTATGCTCTTCTCTGCAGCTAGGAGGTCCTTCTCGAGGAGGTCAACGGTAAGAGTGGTGGGGCAGATTGAGAGGAAGTCGTCCCTGACTACGCGGAGAGAGTCAAGGAGCCGGGTGACTATGTAGTAGAGGGTGATGTACATGGGGGGGGGGGGGGGGGGGGGGGTTCTTGGCGCAGAACTCAGCAGGAAGCGCAGCGCGGTAGCGAGTGTCACTAGTGCAGAGGTGCGTAATGAGGTCAGCGAGTGTGAGAAAGGCAGCAAGGTCAGGGAAGAGGTACGGTAGCATGAGGCGGCTCAGTGCAGCAGTGGCAAGGGAAGAGTAGCATGTAACTACAGCGTCGTACAAGGTCTGAGCACTCTTGTACTGGCTAAAGTGTGCACGCTCAGTGGTCGGTAAGTGGCGGCGCACAGCAAGGCGAGCAGCAGCATCGCGCGTGGCCCACTGTGAGCGAACAGTGGCGTTAGCATCAGCAGCAGGGGCAGGGGAGGCACCAGAAGTGAGGTCAAATAGGGAGAGGCCGTCTGCCCTATCGCACTGCAGGAAAGGCTGCAGATCATCTACCCGACCCTCAGCGTTAAAGGTGAGAACACTAGGGGAGGCCATGACAGCAGTAGACAGGCAGTGCGTACAGTGGGGCAGGGCAGTGCAGTCGCTGAGACGGTGCTCTTACCAGGCAAGTGGGGCGGTCCCAGGATGGTCGACGGGCGGCAGCGCCTCGGCTGCGATGCGGCTCGGCGGCTCGGCTGCAGGGCGGCTCGGCGGTCGGGCGGCTCGGCTGCAGGGCGGCTCGGTGGTCGGGCGGCTCGGCTGCTGGGCGGCTCGGCGTCCGGGCTGCTCGGTTGCTCGGCGGTTGGGCTACTCGGCGGCTCGGGCGCTGGGTGGCTGAGCGGCGACGGGGCCGTGGAAGGGCGGCGACGGGGCCGCTGAAAGGGCGGCGACGGGCCGCGGAAAGGGCGGCGACTGGGCCGCGGAAGGGGTGGGCGACGGGGCCGCTGCAGGGCGGCGACTGGGCCGCGGAAGGGCGGGCGACGGGGCCGCTGAAAGGGCGGGCGACGACGGGGCCTCTGAAAGGTCGGCGAAGGGTTCGCTGAAGGGCGGCGACGGGGCCGCTGAAGGGCGGCGACGCTGCCGCGGAAGGGCGGTGTCGGGGCCGCGGAAGGGCGGCGACGGGGCCGCGGAAGGGCGTTGTCGGGGCCGCGGAAGGGCGGCGACGGGGCCGCTGTAAGAGCGGGCAGCGAGGCCGTGGAAGGGCGGTGACGGGGCTGTGGAAGGGTGGCGACGGGGCCGCTGAAAGGGCGGCGCCGGGGCCGCTGAAAGGGCGGCGACGGGGCCGCAGGAAGGGGCGGTGACGGGGCCACTGAAAGGGCGGCGCGACGGGGCCGCAAGGGCGGCGCGACGGGGCCGTAAGGGCGGCGCGACGGGGCCGCAAGGGCGGCGCGACGGGGCCGCAAGGGCGGCTCGACGGGGCCGTTAGGGGCCGTAAAAAAGGACGCTAGAGGCCGCTAGAGGGGGAACGACACGTGGCGCGACTCGGGCAGGGGCCAAGCGCGCTCCGGGTAGGAAAAAAAATATCGGTGGGCCCTAAGAACAGTTCCCACGTGGGAACCAGCTCTATACCATGTGGAAGTTAGAACAAGAGAGAATGGATGAACTATGAAAGAGTTGAGTACAAGTACTAACCCTAATTAGGTTGTACCCCATATGGGCTTCCCCACTACAGCCTACACAAATGTATATGCTATAATGTTCTGACAGTTGTTGACTCCATAATTCATGCTGCTAACACTGCTGCTGTTGCTCGCAGTGCTGTTCCCATCAAAGGGAAACAGGCCACAGGGCATCATAAAGAGCACAGCACCAGCGCTCCACACATCACACTCAGCCCCGTACTACTCAGAAAACACCTCCAAGCTCCGGAGCCATATAGGCTGATGTGCTCACCACCCCTGATAGAGCAACACCCGGAGTGTGCCTTGCGGTCAATCCAAAATCAATCAACTTGACTTCATAGTCATTGCCATTAGCTTTCCCGGTATCCTCATTATTAGCATGATCCGACAGAAGGATGTTCTCGGGTTTAACGTCGCGGTGCACGATGGCGTGCGAGTGGCAGTGCTGCAAGGCCAGCATGAGCGATCGGAAAATGCACGCTGCGGAAGGTTCTGAGAGCCTTTCTTGCGAGTCAATGCAGTCAAACAGGTCTCCCCCCTCACCGAGCTCCATCACCACGTGCACGTGCTGGTGTGGGGAAAGAAGGGAGGGAGAGGTGTGGGAAGAGGGCAAGGGGAAAAATATTTGAGCAACCTTGTCGAGTTTTAGGAGACAGCTGGTAACCTCTACAGGGAACATGCACGTGCTGGGGGGGTTGTGGAGGGAGGCAAGGGAAAGAGGGAAAGGGATAGGAAGAGGCAAGGGAAAGAGGGGAGGGATGGGAAGAGGCAAGGGAAAGAGAGGAGGTATGGGAAGAGGCAAGGGAAAGAGGGAGAGGGATGGGACGAGGCAAGGGAAAGAGGGAGAGGGATGGGACGAGGCAGGGGAAAGAGGGAGAGGGATGGGAAGAGGCAAGAGAAAGAGGGAGAGGGATGGGAAGCGGCAAGGGAAAGAGGGGAGGGATGGAAAGAGGCAAGGGAAAGAGGGGAGGGATGGGAAGAGGCAAGGGAAAGAGGGAGAGGGATGGGAAGAGGCAAGAGAAAGAGGGAGAGGGATGGGAAGAGGCAAGGGCAAGAGGGGAGGGATGGGACGAGGCAAGGGAAAGAGGGAGAGGGATGGGACGAGGCAAGGGAAAAGAAGGGTAAGCAAGGTTGAGCGTGCTAGGAGTATGGCAGCAATGTGTTGGGAGGCAGTCAATTATGGCAACAGAAGGGCTTGATTCAGAGGGCCAAGAGGGAAGGATCAGAATTGGTTGCATCGTGCAAGACTCATGCACGGTGCCACACAGGTTTGAGCATCTCACGTCATTCTTCATGCATTCATAATGGGGCAGAAGGTAACAGACAAGGGTAACTTACCCTGTGCGTATCCCTGCTTGATCCAAAAGACAATGTGGCCCTTGAGCTCCTCTGTGACTGCCACGTCAGCAGCGCACAGCACAATTGGAAAGACAAAAGGCACAGCAGAAAGGGAAGGAGAACAGGAGGCAAACAAATTTGGTTCAGGAGGAGAGAAAACAGGAGGGAAAATAAGGCCGGGAGATCAGGGCAGGGTAACCAGGGTGGGGAGATGAGGGTGCGGTGGGGAGGTAAGAGTGGAAAGGTAAGGGCAGGGAGATCCCCTGACAGGGAGCGCCCTACCTGAATGGCAGCCTTCCGGATGCTCTTGCAGGCGGCGATCCCCCCGGTGCTGCGGTGCACGCATCGCCGAATCACACCTACTGCCCCCTGCATATCTCCCTCCTCAGCAGAAGCCACTGCCGCCCCAACACCGCCCCCACTTGCACCTCCCTTTCTACCGGTGCTGGGAATGCGAGTTTACAGGTGGTTCTTTCCCGAGGCGCAGCCAACGCTGCAGCAGGCTCGGATCTCAAGTCTGGAGCTGACTCCGAGGCTCGGAATCTGGGGCTGGCGTCAGCAGGGTGCTGATTCGGAATAGCTGTTGTCGCATTCACTGCCGCGTTGACTGCGTTGACTGCCATGACTGCCATGACTGCATTCACTGCATCGACTCTGCTGATGATGATTCTAGGCGTCGTAAGCTTCAGATTCGTTGACTTGAGGGAGTGCGGGTGCAACGAGCTCAAGAGGCGCGTCGTCGAACCACCGCCTCATCAGCCGCTGCCGCTGCTTCCGCCCCAGCACCAACTCGAATGGCATTGGTGCCATTTGAGCCATTGACGCCGCTACTTCGTTCAGCCAATCATTAATCGCCACGTCGGCTGCCGCAGCACCACTACTGGTAGTGCTGGCTCGTCCTTCAACTGAAGACCCGCCGCAGGGAAACGCGCCGGCGGGGGACAGCTCGCCGTCGAATGCGCTGAATTCCGCGTCGTCATCGGACGGCCACGGAATGGAGTCGGCGAAAGGAGAGATCGGGAACGCGTGTGGCGACGCGGAGGCGGAAGGGGAGGCGCCGCCGGGACTGGGGCTCGCGCGAGCGAGTCGCCGCGTCGCGGCGCCGCTGGTCGACGGCGTGGGATGATGCGACGACATGATTCCAACGTCGGACGAGATCGTAGTGGGAATTGCGCGCTAGTCGAAACCGCGAGAAAGCGGCGAATTTGCTGATTGCTCAGCGTTGGACTCTCGTAGAGGGATTCGCGATCGGGAAATGGCTTCAAAGTTGAGCTGCGATGCCGCTACTGTCGGGGTGAGAGCGTATGACGATTCTGTTTCGACGCGCTCAGTTTGTAGTCGCACTCGCGGCGAGCGTTTTCATATTGATCGAGGGGGATTTGGGGGCGGGTTTTTGACGGGTGGACGCGAACGAGTCTCGAGTCTCGACGCGCCACTGCCATTGGCGCTCGAGGTGGATCGATGATGGACGATGGATGATGGATAATGGGAGGTGCGTGGAAGGAGAGGAGATCTCTTCGAGGAAACATTCCTTCCCGTTGACTCGACGCGACGCGGATGTTTACTAGGGTTCATGCACACGGCCGTGCAGTGAGTGCCCTCAGCGGTAAGTCACGGCTCCAGTCTCGACTGGGTGCATGCATTGCGCTCCGATCATTAATCTTAGACGGTAACCTTGAGGTATCCCTTCCCAGGGTGACCTCTTAAAATTCTTCACCGATTTATTTTGGGGGGTCATGATGTCTCAGCTCAGCCGCTACAGTAACCGTTACAACCGATGCGGGGCAATGGATGGACGTGAGTGAGCGAGATCATCGCGCAAAAGGCGGGGGAGAAAAGGGGTGCAAATGCGGAGGGGGAAGGAGGGAGGCATGACGTGCGGCTCGCGGGAGTCGGGCATTCCCTCCGCATCGGCGGAGCACCGATCGGCGCAGCCGCAAATCAGCGGCGAAAATGAACCATCCGTTTCGCCCCCTCGCTGCTTGTTTTGGCCTGAGGCCACGTCACCATGACATTAACGAGTCATGATGACAGCAACTCGCAACCACACATCAGCCCGACGACGAATAGGACGAATCATCGGAAAATCTCGGGCTACTGTTACCCTCTGTATTGGCCGTCTTGTACGATCTCAGGCGATACGAGCAGTGTTTCAAGCGCCAGCGCTGCGAAGGACTGGTAACTGCTACTAATACCGCCTGGGGTTACGCAGCAAGCCTATTCGAGTGTACCACTGGCAGTGAAAGAAACGCCCGAGGCTTCGAAGTGCTGAGTACGCTGCTTTCTAAACGCGGGAACTTCGATCCATTGCACCGCAAAGCTGGTCAACAGCTGCTTTCAGAGCAGTGCTTCGTGAGGGATAGACGAGAAGAGAAGTGAAGTGAAGACACGTGTACTGTAGTTCCGCATCTTTTTTAGGTTCTCCAATCCACCCTCTCCGAACATTCGGGACTGTTTCTGGTGAGAAAGTCATGGGGAGGGTGGGAGAGGAGTCTTGCTGGCGAACTGTACTGTAGTGCAGAGTCAGTACACGTGTGACTGGTTATTTGGCTGGTTCTGAACGTGACGACGCGCATGTTCTCTTGAGAACCCTTCTTCCGGGCTTTATCGGAAGAGGATTCGAACGGCCATTTTCAGGTGCATGCCATTTAGCCGAGGTGCGCTATTCAAGTGCTTGCCAGATTGTTTACACTATTATCAGGTTAAACAATGTCTCCCGAAACCCGCGAGGCGTCCGCCACCTGCACCAATAGTACAAACGATTGAGCATTACAATTCGTTCAAAAAGAGTTGGTACGAAGCAAAGATTTGCGAAGAAATTGGGCAGAAAATCAATCATTGCACTGAGTGACGTCAGAAAATGCAGCATCGAGAGCCAACCATTCCGATTCCAATTTGCGTAGCCCGAAATTGAAGCTATTTCAGACCTTTAATGCCAGTTGAATGGAATCTTGAAACGCATGAGTTGTTAGAGAAAACATTGTTTAACCTGATAATAGTGTAAGCAACCTGGCATGCACCTGAATAGCGCGCCTTGACTAAGTGGCATGCACCTGAAAATGGCCGGGATTCGAACGACACTGCTGCCCGCTTGCCTAGAAGAGAGCATCGACAGCTGCTGGATTATGGCGCCTGCGCCACAGCAGGGGCTCGTTCGTGGGGTGGTTGGATCGAGGAATGAGCAGGGGCCGTGAAGAATAGGGAAGGGAAAGGCGAAGGAGATGCTTTGCCGAGTTGGTTTGGGCCATCCCAGGTATGCTCCAGCTCCGATATGAATACAAGGAGCTGTAGAAAACAAAATGCCCGTATTGTATAGGCATTGTAGACCTAACCGCATAGTATATATAATTGCTGAGAAGTCGCAAAATTACAAAAATGTTGAGTTACTCAGCTAGAAATTTGCAAGTGAATCAATTCACTTAAGTCAATGAAGCAAAAGGGGAAAAGGCAGGCCATGAGAAGTAATGATTTTTACCCTGATTTCCCTGATTTTGACGGTGTTTTGTGCACTGACCCTGATTTTCCTGCATTTCATATATCGTAAAACAAAATTTCAGTGTTAACACTAATTCTTCTGTTAGGCCCGACGGCCTAAGTCCGCTAAAGAATTAGCGAGGTCGACTAAGTCGAGAATGAAACGCGGCGGAAGACTTTGGCGAAAAAACTATTGGCGAAATAGGCGAAGAAGTTACTAAGTAATTGAAGAAGAGTTGAATGAGAATTGATTGATATTGGTGGATACAAGCAAGGATGATATAGCATGCAAGGACGAATGTTGGAAAGTACTTCGTGGGACTAGAAAGCAGAAGCAAGAAAAGTAGAGTGCCACGTGGCACTAGGAAATCTAGGAAGATAAAGATAAGGGTGAGTTGGAAAACACTGTTCGGAATGAACAGTAAATCCCCCCTTAACACTACCCCCCTCCCAAGGAGGCGACGTCCGCGGCGCCTGTAGACTGAAGATACGCTTGGAGGCAAGCGTTGTCGGGAGACAGAGAGGACGAAGGAACCCAGCTGTCTTCGGCTGCGTCGTAACCACGCCAACGAACCATGAAGTCGATGAAAGAGACACCCCCCTGCAGACGGGGACAGTGCCTGAGGATGCGTTGGATCTGGTAGTCGGGCTCGTCGGTGTCAACAGCTACCGGCAGTGGATTACGATCACTGACAAAATTAGGAGAAAGAAAGAGGATTGAACTAGCAAGAATGAGGATACAAATAGCAAACCCTAGAAGGGTTGTACTCGCTATAGAGCACCCCACTACAGGCTAGAACAATAAGATAATATTCTGACACACCCCCATAGCCAAACTGGGGTGTAATCAGCAGAGCAGGCAAAGCAATACAAGCTCAGGATGGATCACAATGTCACCACACATTCTGAGCACAAGTTCAAGAAGAAATAGTTTAGAGTTCACAATTATAAGCAAAGCTAGTGGTAGTCACAACGGGCAAGTGAGGAGGAGGAGGGAGAGTGAGGGGAGAGGAGATAGGAGGCGACGGCTGAAGCTGCAGACACACGGGCAACAGGAGGCAGACTGGCACAGCGGCTACCGGACAGCGCCCGGACTACAGGAGTAACAGGCCCCGCGGCTCAAATAGCGGCGGACGGGCAACGGACCCACAGGCGGCTGGCGTAGAAGTCTAGCTCACTGGGCTACCGGGACAGCGCCCCGGACTACAGGTGCTGCTGACGACAGACTGGCAACCTCCGCTCATCCTCCCGCACACAGTCCCACCCCCCTGATACACACCCACTGCTACACCGCTAGCTCTACTTCCACGCACCCCCCTTAAACCCTAAACCCCAGTCTCCCACACAACCACCCCCCTCAGCGACAGCTGCAGCAGTGGGAGACGAAGGAGGAGGAGGAGCAAAGGGAGGAAGGCACACCGAGCACCCCCATACCCGCCACCTCACAGCTCCTCAGGTCGCCTCGACGGACGACGGGAAATGGCAGGGGGAGGGGGGGGAGGAGGGGGGGGGGGGGGGGGGGGGGAGGCGGTGTGGTGAAATGGGCCCACCACGGGCCTGGTTGGAGGGCGGGGCCGCGACAAGGGGCGGGGCCGCGACGAGGGGCGGGGCCGCGACGAGGGGCGGGGCCGCGACGGTCGGGCAGGGCCGCTTCGAGGGGCAGGGCCGCGACACAGGGCGGGGCCGCGACGTAGGGCGGGGCCGCGACGGTCGGGGCGGGGCCGCGACGTAGGGCAGGGCCACTTCGAGGGGCGGGGCCGCGACGCAGGGCGGGGCCGCGACGTAGGGCGCACGCCCGCGAAGGTAGGGCAGACGCCCGCCGCGCGCCTCGGGGCGCACAGCGGGCAAAGAACCGCCGCGCGCCCCGGGGCGCACGGCGGGCAGAAAACCGCCGCGCGCCTCGGGGCGCACGGCGGGAAGGAAAACCGCCGCGCGCCTCGGGGCGCACGGCGGGAAGGAAAGGTAGCAGCGGAAGCGAGGTGGAAACCCACCCACAGGATCGATCCAAGGGGATCGACCTGCTCTGATAGCATGACAAAATTAGGAGAAAGAAAGAGGATTGAACTAGCAAGAATGAGGATACAAATAGCAAACCCTAGAAGGGTTGTACTCGCTATAGAGCACCCCACTACAGGCTAGAACAATAAGATAATATTCTGACAATCACGGCCCGGGAAGGTGGCGTTGGGATCGATGTAAGGTCGAAGAAGAGACACGAGGAATGACAGGTGCATGCGGAAATGAGCGGGAAGGCGGAGGTGGTATGCGACTGGACCAAGTGTGCACTGAATGACGAATGGACCAATGAAACGTGGACGAAGCTTGTTGTCCTATGGCAGTCGAAGGTTGCGGCTATTCAAGAGAACACGTTCGCCGACTGCGAACGACACCTCACGACGACTGCGGTCGGTGGTGCGTGTCATGCGTGCATTTGCGTGCACTCCTCACGTGATCATGGATCAATTTAAGATGCTGGTGGAAGTTGTCCGCACGAGGGACTGTGGGTGTGAGATCGACACGAGTGGGGACATTGGGGTGCTGACCGTCCAGTGCGAAGAACGGTGATATGCCTGTGGACGAGTGATGCGTGTTGCTGTAGGCGAACTCGGCCATGCTCAGCTTCTTGTCCCATGCGGCTGCGTCATGCATCGTGATGCTCCGAA